GGGTTATATTCTAATAGTCTCCTAAACCAGCAGCAGAGTTCTGGAGTAGAAATTTTTCTGGGTCAGATTTCCTTATTATTCTCCAGCCTTCTGCATCTTCTTACTCTTTTTCACCCAATGATAATTTGCAATCCCATTAACAGTAGGACACATGGCCTTTATCTTTCCAATAGCCATGAACTGAATTCCCAAGGTGATTTCTTTGCTTGTCCTGCTAATGTGGGAGGGTCCAAACACCTTCAATGGAGTGGAGAGGTCTCCAGTAAAGCCTGGACCCTCCATGATCTGTGGCCAAAGGTCAACAGTGGCCAAGAGCTCTCAATGAGAAGCTGGCAGAGGGCCTCCAGACCCCATCTCCAAGGAGAAAGCAAAGACAACAGGGGGAAGCCAACTTGCCCTATTTGCCTAGTCGGACTCTTTGTTGTGTGATATGCATTGCTAGACAGGGAGGGGATGCAGCTGGGGGCTTCTTGCTCAGAATGTCCATTTTAGCACCAGGCTGAAGACATCAATGGCGCTAGTTCTCCTGGGGTCCAGCTGGACACCAGCATGTTGATAAACTCTCCTAAAATTCTGTGAGAAAAAAATCCCTGTGTATTTTGGGGTGGTTATTCAAAGCCTCAAGGGGCCAGGGTTGAGGGAAAGGGCCCTGGTACTGATAACAATTTTCCTCCCTCTGGGCTCACTATTCTTCCACCACATGATTACTAAGGTGATTTTCTACTTGAGACAAAGGAGACCATGTCCCTTCCCTACTTGTCCTGAAGATGAAGTCCATGCTCCTTAGCTTGCCACTCTAGGCCTCTCTTTGTAACTTCATCTTTTGGCTCCTCCTGCACTTTATACCCCAGCCATTCCAAACTATAAACCGTTCCTTGAATGTTCCATGCTTTTTTGAGCCACTGCCTGGAATGCCCTCTCCACTCATGTGTCTACCTAGAAATTTTCGACTCAAAATTTGAAACACTGCTCAAAAATCCATTGCTTTGTGAAGCCATCTTGGCTCTTGTGGAAGCTCCTCTCTTACCGCCAACCCAGGCAGCGACAACTTCTCTCTCCTGAATACTCCCTCACCTTGGGAGTACTTCTATAACTGCAGGTGGCCCCGTGTACTGTGTTTGTTACGCGCCCACCTCCTCTGACTTCCCTGGGGCAAGATCAGCATCTCTCTCATCTTTACACACCTGCCACCTGGCACACAGCTGGTCCTCAACAAATAGGAACTGGATGAAGACGGACAGCCCTTCAGGCAGCAGGAGAGGAAAGGAAAGGGGCTTAAAGGGAGCTTCATCTCCTAAAGCATGTTTCGGCCCAGCATCAAAGTTGGGTCAGGGCACGGCTTAAAAGCTCGTCATGGAAAAAAGGGACATGGTGACAGGACACCGACTTTCTAAGCATTCTGGACTAGGGCTTGGGAGAGTTGAGAGAAACTGATCATTTAGGTAAATACGCCACTGCCCAAGGCAGCTGGGTGGGGGTACCAACAGGACTATAAAATCTTATATTAGCCTCAGAGAGCAGAAACATCTGCTAAAGCCACAGCGCGCAGGCTGGCCAAGTTCAGCAACGGGTTAGCCAGGACAGCCCTGTGACCAACGGAAAGGGCCACAGAGGGGAAGAATCAATCATCTGTGCAAAGAGGATCAGGAGGGACTAGCAGCGACGGGGGGTGGGGGGTGGGGGTTTCCAAAGCTCAGGGGAGCCAGATGTCAGCGACCCTGCCCGGAGCTGCAGCAGGGGCCTCCTCTGCCCCTTTCAGCCCAGGCCTTCACTGGCTCACAAACTCCCTCACACCCTCAGAGCTCATTGGCTGTCGGAGCCTGAGAACTTAGGGAGTTTTTCTCCTTTTCTCTGAGGACTTCAAGGTTTTAACAATAAGGTACAGCTAGCCTTCCACTCGCACACTGAAACAACTTAAAAGGAAACAGATAATTCATTTGCCAGCCAATATCTCTGTTTAAAGAGTTTTCTTTTTCATATCAACACTTCCATGAATTCCGAATTTGATCAACTCCTTGCTACACAGTCGGACATTAACAAAACATCAACACTCTGACAACCTGCTGGGGTCAGAAAGGAACATCTTAAAACTCTTTGGACTCCACGTTAAGACAGGCTTCCAATCCCAATCTTTGATCTCTATTATAAAGCAGTACCAATAAAATATCATAGAGATTTATGGGTGAACTTTCACTTGAGCTGTTTCACACCTAAAATAACATGGGTGCTGGGGCCAATAGGCAGACAATTTAGCTTTAGATTTCAACTGTTCAGGGTTTCTTTTACTTTTAAAACTTAATTCACTTATTTTTTAAAAATTACCTTACATTTTATAATTTCATCGTATTTCCCTCTCAGGGAAGACAGGAGACATTTACTGGGTAGATGTCACATCTCTCTGAGAAGGACAGGCCTCAACTCAGGTAGACACTTGTCCCCTTAACGGACAGATATGCCTAGGTGCACCTGGGTGCCTCAGTCAGTTAAATGAACAGATGCCTAATTTTTGTGAAACAGAAAAAGTGTGTCCTTTTCATGGGACTTAAATGGACAATATTTCAATTTATCTTTCCTCCTGAGTATACTCTATTGTTAATGAGAATAACCAAATACTTATTACTGTGAGTAAAATCCCAACAAAAAGAATTTCATTTTAAAGACAGTAAAACGGAATTTGACCCAACATCGGGTCCAAATTTGTATATTATTGTACAGTCCTGATCTATGGGATAATTCCCCAAATCAAGCTTTGACTGTAATTCTGGTATCAGCTACGTATAAGCCAGTAGCACTGAATGAAAAGAAATCAGTGCCACAGTCCCTCTAGGGGGGAAACCACCGGCCCCCCACCCCCAACGCACACACGCCTTCCCCCATCTGATAAAGTTGGGAGAAATGATTCTGCCAAATGAGAAAGCAGAGAATCTGGAGGAAGAGGTAAACAGCTCATCCAGCTTTTAAGAAGACCTTTATAGGCAAAGTAAAGTGAAAACAGCAAAGTTCCTGGCCACAGTCCTTTAAGAAACAAAAATGAGTGGCAAGAAAGGTCAGAGCCGTGGTTCAAAGGAACCAGAATGCATGGCTGCTGCTGTCCAAGGTTGTGGGCTGGCGTCACTCGCTCCAGCCAAGCTGGGGGCCAAGGCGGGCAGAAGGGGCCCACAGCCACTCGGGGGCACACGGGCCCTTCCTCCATCCAGCTCCGCACTTTTCAGAGCTCAGCAGCAGAGCCCCAACTCTGCAGTCCTGAGGAGAAATTCTAGAACTGCGACAATCACAAAAACAAAGAGAAGAGAAGAGGAAAGGAAATGTGCTTCGTTTTTTAACCCGATTTTATTTTTCCATTTTCTGATTTTGAAATGTAATTCCTGGTTATAAAAGGAGAATGCAACAGCTAGGTAAGAGAAAACCACCTGCTTAGAAGAACCTCTAATTGTGTCTAGAATTCTTAAATATTTGAATCTGAAGAACAGAGTTAAACTTTTCTACATGGGGAGAACAGTTCACATGTATTCACTTTCTGTGGTCTTGAAAGTCTAAGAGATTGTCACTTCTGTTTCTCTTTCCCTCATAACATCACAGTTTTGTAGATATAAGGGATTTTGGAGTCTGATCTCCCTTCCCTCAGAGGCCTTGGGCCAGGCAAAGGCCAGAGCTGGCCAACTCCATTTTGGGGGCAGGAGGTATGGACGGGATATCTTTAACCTGAGGTTATATTAAGTGTAAACAATGTACAAATATCAGAGCCCTGTTCTCAGGAGAGCTAAGCTGTGAGTGAGGGGCCTGGCTTTTGAGTTGTTCCTTTGTCTGCGTAGGCCGGGTACCTACACTAAAAGGAGCCAGAGTGGAGCGAAAGTCATCGCCCAAAAAGCTTCAAAATGAAAACATTTTTTTTTTTTTAAAGATTTTATTTGTTTGACAGAGAGACATAGCGAGAGAGGGAACACAAGCAGGGGGAGCGGGAGAGGGAGAAGCAGGCTTCCCGCCGAGCAGGGAGCCCGATGCGGGGCTCGATCCCAGGACCCCAGGATCATGACCTGAGCCGAAGGCAGTTGCTTAACCACTGAGCCACCCAGGCGCCTAAAAACAGTTTTATTTAAGTATAATACACACACACACAAGTGCACGAGTCATAAAGGGAAAGTCTGTACCTTTTCACTAAGTGAAAGCTCATGTAATCAGGACCCAGATGAAGAATCACGGGCAGTCCCCCCCACCACTTGGGCTCTCTAGTCCTACGGTGTGAACCCACGTGACTTACTTGTTCGAGCTGCAGTTGGTGGGTACCCAAGAGTTCCCTGTTTTTTTGGGTGGGACATGCTGTTATTTTAATTTACATTTCCCTGATAACGTATGATGTGGAGCATCTTTTCACATGTGTATTTGTCATCTATAGATCTTCTCTGGTGAAATCCTTTTCCATCTCTGAGATTCCAGGTTATCTTGTAGAGGGCAAGGCAGGAGCAGATTCGAACAGGGGTCGAAGCTTTTTCTCAAAAGCATTTCATTCCATTCTGTCATACTGTGACAATGCCATAGACATTAAAATGCCACATTATAGCACGTGGCTGCGTTGCAAAAACACTTTATAAAAATTGTGGCTGGTGTGGGCCGAGTTTGCTGAGCCCTGCTTTGGAACAACAGCTTGAAAGCAGTTACTTTCCCTCATTTCCTTCTGAACATGAGCACCTGTCTGAGTTACTCAGGTGGCAGGGCCAGTCTGAAACCTGAGACGGGTCCCTGTGTCTTGCCATGGCATGGTTCCTCTTGAATATATAAGGAAAACATGCAACCACCGAGGGGAAACACTTGCTGGAGCTTACATTGTAGGGAGACAAAACCATTTTTTTTAAGATCTCATTGGATGTGAGAAAAGATGTTCAGACAAGATTGCTGTTCCTCATGACTTTTTTTTTCTTTTTTTGGTAAAAAAAAGAGACAAGCAAAGGAAGGAGACCAAATAGGATGTCCTTCAATCCAAGAAACTGGAGACTGATACTTACCTTCTGAACTAAGTAGACGCTTGTAGCTCTCTCAGCAGCCACTTTATCCAGGGGGGATCCCTCGGGAACAAAATAGCTGACATCCGCAATGTGAACCCCCACTTCAAAGTTGCCTGTAAATGCAGAAGGAGGCTGATCAGTGTGGTGCAGAAGGCAAGGCCATCCCTCCCAGGAATTCCTCCCGAGACTGCATGGCATTCTCGGAGGCCCCAGGACTTGAGGTGCGGGTCACCGTTTCCAGTCTCGCTGGGGATTCCATCTGCCCCTGGTGATTTGCGTGGTTACTTTCCTCACTATATACTAGCAGATGGTGAGATTTTTATCCTCAAGAAACAATATTAACCATCTTTGCAAGATGTTTCCTGTTTCTAAAGGCCTCTTGTGTTTGTAAACATCAGCAGACTTGCCAAAGCAGTCTCATTTTGGATGGTGAATGAGCCCTTTCAGGGCACTAGAAATGAGGGAGTCCCCGATTCCTGTGGACTCTGCCTCTGAAGTCTCTGCTCTTCCTGTCCATTCCGAGCACAGCCTTTATGTCGAGCCCTATACCTGGCCTTCCTACCTTGATTCTGCCTTCTTACTTAGCCCTGCACACTGTGGCCTGGAATTTTCTCAGCCATGGACCTGGTGATGCCACTCCTTAACCTGTAAGCCATGTCCTCGCTTGGTCTCACCCCAACTTGCCTTGCCAGGCTTCCAGCTCCCCCCTCCACATGTCTGCATGCAGCCGTCATGGGAAACCTCTTTCCACTCCCAGAACATACCTTACCTCATCCCACTGACATGTCTGCTTGGCTCATGGTTTTTTCTTATGTTTGGGATCATCTCAACAGGACCTGCCTATCAAAATCCTTCTTACCTTATAAGGATCAATTCAAAGAGAATCTGGGAACAAGAGGAGATTCTCTGCCCTCTGTTTCTTCTACCTGCACTGTCAAAGCACCTAATCCATAAGTGAAGATGATTACCATGGTCTTTTCTTCAGAGCACTCATCTCTGCCAGAGATCACAGTGTATTTTTATTGGCTTACATATTTACTGTCTGCCTCTCTCCCTACAATGTAAGCTCCAGGAAGGCAGAACCTTTATGTAAAGTTTACCGGTCTAGGCCCAGTACCTAGAAGAATGCCAGACAAATAGTAGGCACTCAACAAATACCTGTTGAGTGAATGAATTAATAATTGGTTTGTTTGCCTACTGTCTTTTCCTTTCTGGTAAAAGACCTACTTTTTTCCCCTCACAGAATTGCCCTGTCCCTTTCTGGTGGAGTGGGCCCTGCCTACCAGTTCTGCCAAAGAGATGGGCACGTGACGTAGGCTGGTGGAACTACACTTAAAGTGGGGTTGAGGGGGGCGCCTGGGTGGCTCAGTTGGTTAAGCGACTGCCTTCGGCTCAGGTCATGATCCTGGAGTCCCGGGATCGAGTCCCACATCAGGCTCCCTGCTCAGCAGGGAGTCTGCTTCTGACCCTCTTCCCTCTCATGCTCTCTGTCTCTCATTCTCTCTCTCTCGCAAATAAATAAAAAATTAAAAAAAAAAAAGTGGGGTTGAGGGGGTGGTTAGGTTATAAATTTAAGATTTACTCTTGAACATCCCATAAACCAGCTCTCAAATAGAGCATATATGATTATACACAAACACACTTACATACGTATATGAGAATGGACAGAGCGGACGGAATACAAAAAAGAGGACATATGTAAAGTAGGGGTACAGTATGATGAGCGCATCATGGGCAGACAGAGGTACACTGATGATATCAACATAAAGGTGAATTTGCTCAAATTTAAAAATATGCTCGGGGTGCCTGGATGGCTCAGTCGATTGAGCATCCAACTCTTGGTTTCAGCTTGGGTCATGATCTCGTCGTGAGATGGAGCCCCACGTCGGGCTCCACTCTGAGCGGGGAGAATGCTTTAGATCCTCTCTCCCTCTCCCTCTGCCTCCCCACCCTCTACTCCTACCCCCACTCGCACGCATGCCTCTCTTTAAAATAAATAAATAAAATCTTTAAATATATGCTTGATGTAATTCCACTATACCCCATCCTTATTCATAGTAACTTCAGGAAAGAGGATCTCTCTGCTGGGACCCTGGACAGTAAGGACCGGCATAAGTCAGGAGCTGCCAAGGAAACATCTTTGCCAAACAATCATGCCAATATAGAGATTAATAGATCTAGGAAATAAAAGGAGAATCACGATGGCCTTGTTTGAACTCCAGGATCCAGATGAACTTGAAACTAGTCTACCTATGGACTTGGCAGTTCATGAATCAATCAGTTCCTTTTCAGTTATGACTCACAGGAAGAATCCTGACTGACACCCAAGTTGACTCAGAAGAGCTTCTGCAGAGCACATCACTACTTGCTCCTGGCTGCCTACACAGTCAGTCCTAAAGTATCACACATTTTATCTGCAAATTTTGTAGCCATTTATTATCCCCCTATTCCTTCTTCTTTGGGGGACCCTTCTTCTCTCAGTTTTTTTTTAAATGGAAAATTCTTTAAGCATGGGGTGGTTAAAATAAGGGGTTCAGGGACAGAACAGAATTTAAGATTCCCCATTCCTCATCTACAGGGACTACCCTCCTACGGGGCATTCAGTGGGCTTTTCTGCCTAGTCTTGTAACATTAATACATTGGGGAAAACCGAAGACTGTCTAAGAGATCTTGGAGGCTGTGGGATAATATAATAGACCCACTTCCCACAGAGGAGAGGGGCCTTCTGGAAAGCAGAGAGAAACCAGTGTGGCTCAGAGTTCACAGTTGTTGGGTCACTGGGAGCAGGGACACCTGCCCTGAGATGATCGAGGAACTCAACCCTAAGACGATGTGGCCAAGAGTCTCAGACGGCTCAACTTCCAATTTTGATATTACAAGTATCTAAAACCAACACTTGGGGAAGGTAAAATAAAGTGTCTTCTTTTGAAGTTAAAATTATAATATATTAGCCTAACAGGTAAATATTGACTAAAGGAAAAGAGAGGATTATTACATCATGATATAAACCATAATTTTAAATTCGGTCTGTGTGTTATTACTACACATGAACTTTCTGTCCTTAGTTAAAATTGACAAACTGACAAAGAGTTCATTACAGGAGATAAAACATGAAGGAGGCCAATCAAAACATATTTCAGAGGCTTAAATTTCACTCAGAATTCCCAGCAGAGCCTCTAAGACCAGCAAAGAGAAGCTCTCTTATTCTCTCCTTTGGACCTTCTTTTGTGGATACCCTAAGTAAATATTTTATTACATGTATTTACATAATATGAACTTGCAGAACTCTTGAGGTAGTGGCACTGAAGGTTTTATTCTATGAGAGAGAAAATAAAAATCCAAATGTTCTGTAGTATCTGCTGCCAAGACATTTAGGATCAATGTGATATTTAAAAAAAAAAAATACTGTCTTCCATAAAAAAGGATTCTTTAAAAAAATTTTTTTTTACATGAAAAAGGTTTCATCAACCGGGGCTAAGGTAAGCCCTGAAAGTTCTGAAGAGCTGGGGAGGCAGAGGGAGGCAGAGTCCCCAAGGCCAGCCATGTCTGGCTTGCCTTTGCTCAGTGCCCATGAACTTAAATGAATACAAATGCTCCTTGGAATGAACCTGAGAGGACATCAGGCTGCTTCATCCAATTAAAACACAAATAGAACCAAAAGCAGCGTCTTAAAAACCACCTTGTGTAAGCCAGCCTCCCAGCCAGTTCAGCCACTTTCCAACAGTGTCCCTGCCAGGTGGCCCCTGACACATCCTTGAGGGTGGGGAGCTCACGACCTGAAGCCACTTCTGAAGAGCTCTTGTCACTTCAGCGAGAACATGTGAAAGTGCCCTGTAATGAGTAACAGCGACACGGACACAATGCTGGCCACGGTGGTCATAAACACGATAAGGAGGAAGCAGTAGTGGCTGTTTATTCCATGTCTTCTTCGTGCCAGGGCTCCGCATACATTCATCCAATTTTGACAGGCACACAAACTGAATTTCACAGATGAATCATCTGAGGCTCAGAGAGGTTCCGAGTCACTTGTCCAAGGTTACCTGCCTAGTAAGGAAGTAATCACCCCTGGATTCAAAACCAGGTCAGATTCAGAGTCTTTGCTCCTTTGATTACCGCCCCCCCGCCCCCGCACACACACACACACACACACACACACTCCAAGACAAGATGACACAACCCAATTCTTCATCTCAGTGGGTCACAGCTCAAAATCGCTCCCCTAGGGAGACGCAACAGAAGCCATTTGTGGCCGGGGATTCAGAAATCCTGCTGGTGACTTTCCCAGCCTTGTCCGCAGCCACATCCCTGTCCCTGCCGTCTCTCTCGGTTCCCTCGAAGGCCACTCCCCTTTGCCACGCACAGCCTGGCTGTACAGCAACTGGTCGACTTAACTGTGAGTCCTTAGGATCCAACTACTGCTGTCTAAGTTTCTAGCTTCCTTCCTCAGCTGTCAGTCCTCCTCAGCTAGCGACAGAGTGACTGTCCTCAGCAGCTGAAAGGGCTGTGCCATTAGTGTGGGCGGGGACGTCCCAGGCTACCCTCCGAGGAGTGAGCAGTGTGACCAGGGCCTTCCAGACTCGGGTGACTTGAATTCACTTTTACCCACTGCTAAGACCAGACAGCGGTGACGGACTCTTCTTGACCCAGAAGGGCACTGCTTTTAATCCAGAATGTCAGGGAACAATGTGGCCAAATGTACCTCACCAGCAAAAAATAGCTGCTTTTGTCTGGGTCACTAATGGCCTTCGTGTTGCTGAATCCCAAACTTTTCAGGCCTGACTTGATCTGACCTTACAGGGCACCCAAGGCCTACTGATCTCTCCCTCCTTGACACACGCTTCCCTCAGCTTGAGCATGTGTGACAGTGGGACTGCTCCTTCTCAGGTTCCTCTTCCTCTCCTGTCCCTTACACGTTGGCGTGCCTCCAAGCTCTGCCCTAAGCTGCCTTCTCTGGCAATCCTACTCTCTCCCTGGACTGTCTCATCCACTCCTAGGAGCTCAAGCAGCATCTCTGTGCTTTGGTCTCCTTATTCTGGGCCACCAGCCTAGACTTCTCTGAGCTCCAGACTGACATGCCCCTTAACTGTCCCACAGGTACCTTACATGCACACCT